CGTGACATGTTCGTACGAACCCTTTGTACGAACAAAAGGAAGAGAAATTTAGGATAAGAATACGAACATGTTCTTGCATGAGGCCCAATAAGTTTAAATAGTGATGTCTTGGTGCTGATTTATTATATTTGATTCAGGGGTTGTACTGGCTGATGGCTTTGTAGCGAGCCCCATTAGCAGCACATTTGGCTCGACCCAGCCAGTAGCTACCATGGTGCAGGCCCACAGCCAGGCTGGAGTAGGAGGAGCTCCCACTCTGGTTTCCTCCCCCCGACCCAGCATCCTCCGCAAAAAGCCCACAAATGAAAGGTGAGTGAAACATCAGCACATGGAACATATGTATGGGATAAACCTTGTGCCAGCAGGAACTTAATTTAAATTGCTCAGATTGAATCTGTATGTGCATAATTTGAAATTGAATGCATTGGTTTGAAAATGATTTTCACTAAATTGACACTGAATTTAATGATTTGAAACTGAATTTAAAGTTTTGTATCTGAATTAATTTGCTTTAAAACTGTATTTTGGTTTATTAAAAATTCATTTTGACTACTTTCACTTTCAGTTCCATAATTCAATTTCAGTTCCAAAATTCAGATTTTTGTGTCACACATCCTGGTCTTTGAAAAGCCAGGCAGAGTAATCAAACACAGATCCACAGATTAATGTTTCACTTCGGTGAGGCTTCCCTTCTGTAATGTAACGAAGTTGATGCAATCCATAAAAGTGACAAGGAAAGTTATTTTATTGCAGTGATTGATTTTATCTATATGTAGAAAATGTTACATTTACATCACATGGATCACATATTGATCAGATGCTGCTGCTGACTGATCCATGACGAAAGCTAAATGTAGCTAAATAAAAGCTGAAATTAACAAAAGCACATAAAACTTGTGCTAAACATAGCTAACAGGTCAAATTTGCAAAATAGTATCTAAAAGAAAATAATAGCAAAACTGTAGCTAAACATTGAACATAGTAAAGTCATAACTAAAAGCCTCAAATTGCCAAAAAATATATATATTTTTTGATACATCTAACCTGTTTTTCTCTGTCAACTGTTCCATGGAATGCCCTCAGTCCTACATCTGCAAAGGAATGACCTGCTCCAAATAAAACCTCCCGTCTCCTTTTCTAATAATTACTGTTTCACAAAATAGCTGTGGGTCTCTTAATGCCACAAATGCATGCAGTGAAAAGAAGGAATTTGGGGGTCAGTATCAGGGGCTAATAAGGGTTGACTGGATCCATTCTAGAG